GGCCCAGTAGCATGGCCACCGAGGTCACCGGACCTGACTCCATTGGACTTTTATCTGTGGGGTCACTCGAAGTCCGTCGTTTATGCAACACCCATAAACAATGATGACCTATGGGAACGTGTGCAGAATGCATACTAGATGATTCGAGGAAACTCTGGTTTTACGAACGAATACGTCAGTCTTGTGTACGTCGTGCTCGTACATGTGTGGAGAATGGAGGAACAATCTTTGAGCATCTGTTATAAAGAAACATCCCTGTCCTTATACATGGCAATAAAGGCATACATTTAAACTTATTTTTGGCTATTAGTTTGAAAAATAAGCATTTGCGACTACATTTTTTTCTTATTTTGATCCAGGAACACGCACACGAAGTTTGTAAACATACTTTTGACTCACCCTATATAATAATGCCTCACGCGAAAAAGTGTTTAATGTATGTAACACGAATTAAAAACAAAATGTATTTTGGAAATATCTGCTGCACTATGTACCTCAAGGGCGAGGTTCGTCTTGGATACATAGAAGTAAGTAAATACCCTATAAAATGACGAATGGATGGAATGATGATAGAATGATTCTTTAGAGTAACGTTTTGTTAGAAACTTTCATTTCCGTGCACACGAAAATAATAACATAATATTAGAGGAACGACCCGTTGCAATCGACGGGACGAACTTATCAATATCTGTTTCTTATCAATTTGACAATATGTAGTTCCATACAGTCACGCTGTTATTCTAACCATATTGATAGAAACTCGTAGAATGGGGCCGTGTGGTCTGGCGGTTACAAATCTGCGACCCGCTCAAGTGCTTTATGGGAACCGCGTAGACGCTACTCTGTTGTTAATCACCCTGAGTGACTAGAACTTACTTACGGCCTAGGTTAAATTTTTATATGGTAATTAGTCATTAAAAGGGGGCCAGGTTTAGAAGGTTAGGTTAAGAATTCATAAATATAACACATCAACAAATCTGTCTAAGAAATATTGCGTAAGATGTAAACGTGTTTTACAGATATTCTCAATATGTATTTATATATGTTCATTTAACGATGTTCTCAGCAGCTCAGATTGTACAGCAAGGATAATAATCCTTGTGATTATATCCGACAAATTGAAAAAGGGCTTAAACTTCTACTATACCGTCCTATTGCATTGATCGTGCGGTTAGTACCATAAGCTGCCACTTTCTTACACTGCCCCACCAGTGCTTATCTCCGTTATTTCAGGTTACCACCGTTAAGCTTTGACGTTTAAGAACCTGTTTTGCCCCTTGTATAAAGGCGAAGAATTACCGACGTCTTTTACTTATCGATGTTGAACTTCAGCCCTGAAGATAAGGGCAGTGTCTTCCTCTGAAACGTCGGCATCTCATTGCAAGTCCACACGGCGTTACAACCTTAAAGCTTAACACCGACATCTTCACCGCCATGAGAACTTTAAATCTCAGTCCTTTGTTTAATTATATTTTTTCGTTTTTTTGAATCACGAAAATACTTACCTTTAATGTGTTAAATTAGTGTTATTGCCGAATTTGAATTAGTTTAAGGATTAGTAAGACTTTTTAAAACCAGGCGTACAGAAGATGTCATCAACATACACCAGAAGATGCCTGTCTCCTGGGATGGGGCTCCTTATAGCCCGATACAAATTTTACCGACGTTTCAGAGGTACTTACTGCCTCTTTCATCATTGTTCTGATGTTGAAGGCAGCCTCGAAAAGTCTGTAAACTTCCACCGGACTGCCCTGTAACTGTGTAATCAGAAACTAACAGGATAACCCAAATAAACACATGATATGCGCGTATTAAAATGATAAAATGTTCGCCCAGACTGCTTCAGTTCACGTGACCATGAAAGTCATAAGCCATACATGACAATTCGATATTCGTACAGGCCTGTTGTTAATTTAGAACTTGTTCAACAAAGAAGTAACACAATCGACAGGAATTCTTATGAGATTTGCTCTTTCCACAGTGGTTACATTTTTCATTATGAAGTTCAGGGTTTTGGAGCCGTGTCCTAGTGCCAATAATAACAAGATGGCAGCCGTCCGAAATCGTTATGGCAGGAAGTGACACTAGCGCCATGTAATATCACGTCTTGAAATTTCGTGTGAAAATTGATCTTCAAAATAAAATGATACTTCGATTAGGATGCATTTTGCAAAACAAATGAAAGCCGTGTGTACGCCACGAGATCAGTGTGATTATAATAATAAACCAGCCTTAGAAGTATAAAAAGTGTTTTCCATACTGGAACACACATAATATCCTCATTCGTTCTTTGCAACATGCGATTAGAGGTATTAAATCAGCCTTATTCAATAGTTCCCACTTTGGCCACCAGATCGTAGCACCTCAGTTTCTATCTCGCGACTTTCCTCATGCGTCATTCTTTTACCACTGCTCGTAGGATACTAAAAAGTGCGATTTTGAGGTCGTGCAGTATGGCACAACCACCACATCAAATTTAATCGAAATCCGTTCAATGGCTCTCGAGTTGAATCGACTTGACAGACGTGGTCAGCCCATAATGCGTTCTCGCTATGCAGTTCGTGCAAAGAACGCATAATAACATGTTTGTTAGGAAATAAAATAATTAATGATTACTTGTGGATTGTATTAAATTTTAATGGTGAAGGCTCGTACTATGAAGTACCAGTTGCCTAATTTGGAACAAAGCAAGCCCTTATGCTAATACATGAGGCCCCTATCTCATGCATATGGACCGAGATCTATCAATAGTTGAGCCATTGAAGCGAGTATGTGTACACCTGCATATTAATAAAACTTAATTAAATGTTTCTATTTATATACGCGGTAAACATGAGATCTCTGTAACACTGAAAGACATGGCACGTGACACAGGCTTTTTTGTTTAGTTCCTTATTTGATTCCAGGCACGATCGACATGGTATACCCAAGGCAGTAATTTTTTGTAGAACCCGGTGGTAATTAAATAAACAAACCTAACTGGCTCTGGTAATGAAACCAAAAGGTTCAACATAGATCCCTAGCAATTCTCAATCCTAATCTATTCAGGTCTGTACAACATTCTTACAACCATTGTCAATATACATTTTAATATTATCTTTCCATCGCCTCCTTGGCGATGTGTCCTTTTTCAGAGAAGTTTCATCGCCAAAATTATGTGTGCTGAAAATGAGGAAATCTTTTACTTTAGTAAGATTCCATTCCACCTCAGAAGCAATTCTTGGTCGTGAATCCTAAACTTAGGCCTGTTTCCTTTCAAATTGTTTCTTTAATAACTGCGACTATTCAAACCTTAATCAAGGTTCAAACCTGCTAACAAGAGAGTCAAAATCACAAGCATGGCCACCGCGATTGGCCAGTGTCCTGAATTCCAAGTCATAAATCTTCTCGCCTTAAGCGAAAGAAAAACAGAATTTAATTTATGTTTATCTGAATCAATGTTAATTGCATCGTCCAGACGTTACAGCTTCAGAAACACCAGAACAATATTCTGAAATCCAGACAGAATGCCGGGGATTACGCCCTCTCCAAATGTTTTTGTAAGTGGATTTCGGATTAGTGTGTCCCTGGGTTATAATCGCCAGAAAGACTTTATATCGAGGCTACGTTGAACTCAGGAAACCAGTATTTGAACTTGGACTACAAATTCCCGATAACATATCAAAACAGAAACCAGGTCATGGGTTATGGTAATTATTATTTTTATCCTAGGATGGGCCTTCTCGATGCGTCACACCGTGACTTCGGCTGTTGTTAGTGTATTTGTTACCGGCAATGTATAGAATGCCTTAAGTCAGTAGGCAAAGTATGAAATAAATAGTAATGTTAATATTGTTTGGCTGCGTAAATTAAAATTAATCAAAGTCGATTGGGTAAGCTGTCAAGATGGAGGTTGTGCACGATAGTCGCGAAAACACCAAGCTACTGAATCTGAACATAACAAAAGTTTTGAGAATTAAAAAAATATTGTTTTATATTAAGTTTTTGCAAATATAAAAGATAAAATAAAACTGTATAAATCTTATTATAGAAACTTCTTTGTTATAGACTTTGACTAAAGAATCTGAGGCATTTTATAAAATTCCTTGATATTCTATAGAATGCCCAGGCAAAGTATAAAATAAACTGTTAGTTTAATACATTGCCTAAAAGTTCTAGGCATTTTATAAAATGCTTGGGCATATGGACAACGTTTAAATTAGAACAGAAATGTGCCCACTGGCGTTCTTAAAGCATAAGTTAAGTTTTTTAAAAAAAATTATCAGAAATTGCTCACGATATGAAAAATATAAACATATTATAACTTTTAATTTCGTCAAGATCTTTATCATTCGTCTGAATCAGTATTTAATATAATATAATTTCGTGTACACATTTTGTCAGTATTATTTAGCGTGGGTCCTCAAACAAAATTTCACTAAAACCGCACAAAGAGTAGCCCAAAAGACGTTCTTGATATAGTAAGCATGCAAAATCACGTAAAATCACGTAAAAACTGAGCTGAATGGTAACACGTCCAAAGCTAAATGGAAACACAGGCTGGTCATGCACACAAAATAATTTCCCTAATTTTCTGTTCCTCCTTGTGATAGCAGGAATAAGTACATCTTCTTAAACAAAATCATTGCTTTCTCACGTAACAGCATAATATGGACGCTGTGTGGCCACACTTTGTCAGATATCAGTCTGTTTCTAGTGTCCATAACCCTTGTAGGGTTACTATGTTATTTACTTTAAAATGTAGTGCGCGTTCCTAGCGGTAATAAGAACTTATGCCAAAATTCAAGTATGGTAATATGTAATAATAGACAAAGTTCTTTGATGGCCGTTTGTAACAATGTGCGGCAGTATATTCTTCAGGATACAGTGACCTCCACTACTTTAAATTAAAAATACCTCTAACATAATTATCTTTGCTGATCGTCACAATTGTTATATTTCCAGCACTGCTTACGAACTATGTATCTGAAATGCGCAGTTATCTGAAGTGACCCACTTACCTAAAAGTTTTTGAGAACAGTAGAGTTTCCATTAAACCAAGGATCCTCGTAAGAGTGAAGAACGAAATATAAGCATCGTATTCTTACATCTTAAGAAAAGTTAATTGTAGTTCACTGTTTTCTTGTGGTTAATAACTCTTCTCAGAACACAGTTCATTTTGAATCAATGAAAACAAAACTGTCTGCTTGAACAATATTTATGCGTTATGCCTTTGCTTCAGTCATGTCAAATAAACAAGCACTGCATACAACATGCGCTACTCGCTTCGTATTTGGGGCTTGATCAGCCGGCGAATACTGATTCGCCATCTGGGTCGACGGATTCCAGAGAAACTAAAGAGTAGTTCACATAAGCGACGAAAGAGTACGTTATCAAACATACCAGTATGCCATCTTGCGCCAAAAATTGAAACTAATTCATGGAAACCGTTGCTTTGTATTATGGAATGGAATTTTGTTGTGTATCGCAAACCTGAAGCCAAAAAAGCCGCCAAGAAGCCAAGTACAAGCGTGGACAGTAGACGCCATTCTAGTTGCATACACAAGCCGGTTTGAGTGTAGTGTTTGAAGCTACAACGTGGAGTTATATTATAATACAGAGAAAAATATTCTTGTGTCGTATTTTAGAGTACTGAACCATTATTACCAACGTGTATTTGAATCCTACGGCAATGGCTGAACTGCAAGCCACTACAATGTCACCAGAAGCTCTGCAAGCGGTGAATGTTAGGAACTTATCAGTTTCGCAGCTGGAGTTGGAAGGTAATCCAAATTCATTAGCATTAAGAAGGCCTTTCGATCCTGTGGCACATGATTTGGACGCCTCTTTCCGTCTAACACGTTTTGCTGATCTAAAAGGATGAGGGTGTAAAGTCCCCCAGGAGGCTCTCTCTAAGCTCCTGGAGGGACTTCAGCAAGACGAAGATCATACACAGGACGAACATGCCCACTTTATGCATATGGCAATTCCTAGAATTGGAATTGGCATGGATTGCTCTGTAACTCCACTGCAACATGGTGGACTCTCACTTGTTCAGACTACTGACTTTTTTTATCCATTAGTAGATGATCCTTACATGATGGGTAAGATTGCATGTGCTAATGTGCTCAGCGATATGTATGCAATGGGTGTCACAGATTGCGATAATATGTTAATGCTTTTGGGAGTTTCGACCAAGATGACAGAGAAGGAGCGTGATATTGTCATGCCCCTCATAATGAGAGGATTCAAAGATTCTGCCCTGGAAGCTGGTACCACCGTGACAGGTGGGCAGACAGTAGTGAATCCATGGTGTACAATCGGAGGAGTCGCTTCGACAGTCTGCCAGCCTAATGAGTACATCGTTCCTGACAATGCTGTGGTGGGAGATGTTCTTGTTCTGACCAAACCGTTGGGCACTCAAGTGGCCGTGAACGCTCACCAATGGCTGGACCAGCCAGAGAGATGGAACAGAATCAAGCTCGTCGTTTCAGAAGACGACGTCAGAAAGGCTTACCAGAGAGGAATGGATTCCATGGCAAGATTAAACAGAATTGCTGCTCGTCTCATGCACAAATACAATGCCCATGGTGCCACTGATGTCACTGGATTTGGTTTGCTGGGGCATGCACAGAATTTGGCCAGACATCAGAAAAATGAAGTATCTTTTGTTATCCATAACTTGCCAGTTATAGCAAAGATGGCTGCTGTAGCAAAAGCCTGTGGCAATATGTTCCAGTTGCTTCAAGGCCATTCTGCAGAGACGTCTGGTGGCTTACTGATTTGTTTACCAAGGGAACAGGCTGCTGCTTACTGCAAGGACATCGAGAAGCAAGAAGGTTATCAGGCCTGGATCATTGGCATCGTCGAGAAGGGAAACCGAACGGCTCGCATCATCGATAAGCCCCGTGTCATTGAGGTCCCTGCTAAAGAAAAAGATGGAGAACTGTGGTAAAGTAGTGGGTGTAGGCACCCGAAGTATAATGTAGAAATCCATTTGCATGTAGGTAAAAACATTCTGATGCACGCGTCGGTGAAGTATTAATGACAAGAGCCCACTATTTTGTTCTTGTTTCTCCTATCAGATTATATTTTCATGATATTGGACAAAAAGGTTTTTCAAAACAAGCTCTGTCATGGTAATTTCCAATTTTAATAAGTTGAATATAGTATTGTAAGGTATGTGAGAAGTGTGTGTTATCTGATCATATCTGCTTTTAAAATGACTTGTGATATAATACTAACTGCAAATACGCGCATTTATTTACATCTACAAATAGTAATCATTGTTTTCTATAGGTAATGCGCTCATTGTCATTGTCTTTGTGCCATTTGAAGCAGCATTTAGTGCAGCTAACGAACCTTACACTTAATAGGCTATTAGCCGAATTATGGTGACAGATGAAAGTTTTGAATTGTAAATCCCAAGTTCAAATTAGGTGTAACTGGATGCAAACTTGTGTGTAAGGGATGACAGGAATAGACGTGTGGCAGGGAGTATCGTGGTTAGGTTATCATTTTTGTTTAAATTTTGACGAGATAGTACGATTTGAGATTTTCACAGCGGTGAGTCTGAAGTTTGCTGTCTTCTGGGTTATTGCGCCATGTAGTCCAGTAGATCTCCACCGACGTTTCAGAGGTCATACTGCCTCTATCATCAGGGCGATGAATGTTCATGATGACGGAGGCGGTATGACCTCTGAAACAGTGGAAATCCCCTGGACTACACGGCGCAATACCCCAGAAGACAGCGATCTTTGACAAGATAATTGAAAGTATAAATGTATTTTGATTCATTCATAATCTGGAACATTGAAACAACAACAGTGCCTTTACTTTTACTTTAAAAATAATTGTACAGAAATGGCACAAAAGTACATAGTATAAGAACTGGGAATACAAACGTTAGCTATTTTCTTGCCATCAGAGAAGTTCATGTATTTTTATTATGTAGTTATTAATAAAGTTGTTCTTTTGGGGAAGAAGGGATTAGTAAGGTGGCTTTCATTGTGCGTTGTGTTGTAATTCTTGCGAGCTACTAAGCTGCAAGTTGAGAACAGTCTCTGAGTGATTTAAGCAAGGAAAACTGAAACATTCACATTTCATCACTTATTTATTTAAATTTTGCACAAAGTGATGTATCTAAGTTCTTACCCATGGGTCTCCTATATATATATATATATATGTGTGTGAGGTTAGGTTAGGTTACTAACTGCAGAGAAACAATGTCTAATGCTGTTCAATTTTAGATGATGTGTGAATTTTCTATTGTCAGGACTTGTGTTTGATATAAGTATTGGGTAGGTGTAATGTATACTTGGAGCCAGATAAACTGGCCGTGATGTGGACAAGAGGGAGTTTTACAGTTGATGAAAGAAGCCGTTGATAATATAAGCGTAGAAGAATATTAATGAAAAAAGTATTTAGTAGTTTTGAATTAACACTCACAAATCAGTTGTTTAGTGTGATGAGTGATGTTTGTAGAAAAATATATTCAGTAGGAAAGCCTTGCTTCTTCTAGA